AGGTGTACATTTTTAGGAATATACCAGTTTATTCTAGGTTATTCAATTGTTGATGTATATTTGTTCATAATATTCTGTTATAATCCTTCTGGCATCAGTTGTAATGTTCCCTCTTTCATTTCTGATTTTCATTTTTCAAGTCTTTTTCTTAGTCTAGCTAAAGAGTTTATTGATTTTGTTGATCTTTTTTTTAAACACAAAAAAAAACCAAAAAATAAAAACCAAAAACGAACTCTAGGTTTCACTGAGTTTTTTTCTTTCCTTGTCTTCAGTTCTGTATTTAGTTGATCTCAGCCCTAATATGTATTATTTTTCTCCCTTCTGCTATTGTTTAGTTTAGTTTGTTCCTCTTTTTTCTAATTTCTTGAGATACAAAGTTAGGTTGTTGATTTGTGGTTTTTTTTTTTTTTAAGCATGTAAGCTTTTGCTGCCATAAACGTCCCTGTTAGTACTGCTTTTGCTGCATCTCATAAATTAGTGGTTTGTTGTTTTTGTCTCCGGATATTTAAAAAATTTCTTTGTAATTTCTTTGCCCCATTGGTTGGTTAAGAGTGAGTTTTTAAATTCCACATGCGTGGATTTTCTTGTTTTTCTTCTGTTATTGGCTTTTAGTTTCATTTCACTGTGATTAGAGAAGATAGTTGGTGTGATTTCAGTTTTCTTAAATTTATTCAGACTTGTTTTGTGACCTGCGTTTTATATAATTTTAATATGTATCTGAACTTTCAGAGTTAATTATAAAGACTTTTCTGAATTGTCAGTGTTTAGTTTTCTAAAATATGTTCACGCCTCTTCAGCATATTTACAATATTTTTGAAAATTAATAGACATTCTTTTTTAGAAGTTTTTAGGTTTACAAAAAATTTGAGCAGGACAGTATAGTGTTCCCATGTTCTAACCACCCCTCCAACTGTCATTTTTCCCTGTTATTAATGTCTTACATTAGTACAGTACACTTGTTACAGTTAATGAACCAATACTGACACATTATTATTAACTAAAGACCATAGTTTATTCAGATTTTCTTAGTTTTTACCCAGTGTTCTTTTTCTGTTCCAAGATATGTTACATTTTGTCGTTTCTTCCTAAGCTTCTGAAGACTTTGTTTTTGATGACCTTTTTTTCTTAGCAGTTTTGAAGAATATTGGTCAGATATACTGTATGATCTTCTATTGGAATTTGTCTGATATTTTTCTCATGATCAGACTGCGATTATGGGTTTTTGGGAGGATGTGTTATACTTGACATTTTAGTATTCAGGTGTTCTCTTAGAATACTGCTTGAAGCAAAACCATCTGTGCCAACTGCTTTTAAGTTTTATCCTCTTTTTTTGTACTCCCCCCCCCACTTATATAAGTAATATTCCAATTGTATTTCTTAGGTATAGATTTTAAAATACATTCTATCATACTTCTTTGTAAAATCTTTTTTAAAAAAAAATGTGTCTTCGCTATTATCAAAAAGATAACACATGTTGGCAAGGATGTGGAGAAAGGGAGCCCTTGTGTACCTTGCTAGGAATGCACAATAAACAGCCATTATGGAAAACAATATGGCAGTTTCTAGAAAATTAAAAATAGAATTACCATATGATATAGCAGTCCCGCTTCTGGTTATATATCTAAAGGAATTGAAATCAATATGCTGAAACGGTATCTGCATGTCCATGTTCACTACAGCATTATTCACAATAGCTAAAATATGGACGCATCCTAGGTGTCCATCATTGCATGAAAGGATAAATGTGGTATATATGCACAATGGAATACTTTTCAGTCTTAAGATAGAAAAAATTCTGTTATTTGCAAGAACATGGATGAACCTGGAGGACATTATGCTAAAGGAAATAAACCAGGCACAGAAAGACAAACACCACGTAATCTAAATTGCGTGTAGAATCTAAAAAAGTTGAACTCTTAGAAGTAGAGAGTGAAATGGTGTTTACCTGAGGCTGGATTGGGAGTGCATGGGGCAAGAGGAGATGTTGATCAAATGGTACAAAGTTTTAGTCAGGAGGAATAAGCTTTAGTGATCTGTTGCACAGAATTATGAAATATAGTAATAATGCATGTATATTTTAAAATTGATGAAAGAGTAGATTTTAAGTGTTTTACCACAAAAAAATAAGTATGTGAAGTGATGGATTTGTTAATTAGCGTGAATTAATCATTCTACTATGTAAGCATATGTCAAAACATCACATTTTACCCCATAAATAGATAATATATACAACTATTATTTGTCAATTAAAAATTAATAAAATAAAAACAAAGTGTCTCAAATGTGCTGGTTTAGGTTTGTGGGGAACAAATGCAGTTAAAAGGTTTTTTTTTTTCAGATTTTGGAGGGTACGAGCAAAGCAAGGTAAAATTAAACAACTTAAGTCGAAGTTTGTGTGTGTGTGATGTTTGTATATGCCTTTATTTTTTATTGTGGTAAAATATGCATAACAACATTTACCATTTTCAAGTGTACAGTTCAGTGGCATTTAAGTATGTTTATTTTGTTTGTGCAACCATATATAGTTTTTAAAATATGCATTGGTCTGCTAGGACTGTCATAAAATACTACAGACTGGGTGGCTTACACAACAGAAATTTATTTTCTCACAGTTTTAGAGACTGGAAATTCAAGATTAGGGTGTTGGCAGGTTTTGTTTCTCCTGAGGCATCTCTGTCTTGCAGATGGCCTGCCCTCTGTGTGTACATACCTGTGTCTCTTAGAATGGTACCAGTTGGGCCGGGTGCAGTGACACACGCTTGTAATCCCAGAACTTTGGGAGGTCAAAGCGGGTGAATCACTTGAGGTCAGGAGTTCGAGACCAGCCTGGCCAATATGGTGAAACCCTGTCTCTACTAAAACAAACAAACAAAAAAATACAAAAACTAGCCGGGCATAGTGGCATGTGCCTGTAGTCCCAGCTACTTGGGAGGCTGAGGCGTGAGAATCGCTTGAACCCAGGAGGCAGAGTTTGCAGTGAGCCTTCATCTCAAAAAAAAAAAAAAGAATGACACCAGTCATGTTGGGTAAAATCCTCATAAGTTACCTTATTTAACTGGATTCCTGAAAGGCCCTTGCTCTAATGTCATATTTGAAATGAGGGTTCAATATAAGAAATTTGGGGGGAGACACAGTTCAGTTCATAACATCTTTTATATAGAGGTGTTCCAGTTTATCGCTATCTTCAATGTATTAATTTCCTGTGGTTGCTCTAACAAATTACCACAAACTGGTTGGTTTAAAACAATAGAAATTAATTCTCTCACAGTTCTAGAGGCCAGAAGTTCTAAATCAGTATTATTGGGCCAAAATCAAGGTGATGGCAGGGCTTTGTTCCTTCTGGAGGGAGGCTGTAGAAGAGAATCCATTACTTGCTTCTCCCTGATACTAGTGGGTACTGGCATTCCTGACTGTGGCCCATGTCCCTCCAGTCTTCAAAGGCAGCATTTTCAGTTCTCTCTGCCATGTCGTCGTCTTCTTTTTTGGAGACAGAGTCTTGCTGTGTTGCCCAGGCTGAATTGCAGTGACATGATCTGGGCTCATTGCAACCTCTGCCTCCTTCATTCAAGCAAGATTCTCCTGCCTCAGCCTTCTGAGTAGCTGGGACTACAGGTGTGTGCCACCATGCCCAACTGATTTTTGTATTTTTAGTAGAGATGGGGTTTCACCATGTTGGCCAGGCTGGTCTCGAACTCCTGACCTCAGGTCATCTGTCCACCTTGGCCTCCCAAAGTGCTGGGATTACAGGTGTGAGCCACTGTGCCTGGCCTCTCTGCTGTGTCTTCTCATTGCCTTCAGGGTGTGTCTCATTCTTATAAAGATACATGTGATTGCATTATGGCCCACCAGATAATTCAGAATAATCTCCCCTCTCGAGATCCTTAATGTAATCATATCTGAAAAGACTTTTTTTTTTTTTTTTGCCATGTGAGGTAACATTCTCAGGTTTCAGGGATCAGGGTGTGGATATCTTTTGTGGGGCGATTGTTCAGCTTATCCCACTCAGTCGTTTATAGTAGACTTTTAATGTTCTTACTTTGATTTTACAGTTTAGTTTTTAACAGGCCCCCATGTTCAGTTCTGGGTTGGTGGGAGATGATGGCATTGGGTGGCAGAGAAAGTATCTCATCTTTTCTGTATACTATGCAGAAAATTCTAGGTCTGTGGTTCTGGGAAGGACAAATCAGAGATGATAGTGAGTATGGAAATAAAACAATTAAAGTAATCTAGCTTGATAACAGAGGTAGGTATGGTGGTGCTATTTTTTAAATAATAGAGAATTTAGAAGAGTCACAAGCTAGTTTCAGGTATGGGGAGGAGGGGATGTATAGAGTTTGGGACACACTGAGTTTTTAGAACTTCTGAAATATGGTAAAATTAGTAATGGTAGGTGTGTTTTTGGCAAATGCATGTTCAGTGGATTATTGGAATAGAAGTCACTTTATACTAAATTAAGGATTAAGTTGAAGATGGAAAGTATTGATACATTCTATTCTCTAGAATAAGGGTGCTTGGCATTTAGTAAGTATTTAATCAGTGTTGGCTATTATGAGAATTACTATAGTGTTCCAATACTATAACATTTTTGTCTTCAGCTGTTTGGTTACGTCTTGATATGTACATAATATTAAATAAATCCTGATCTAGAAAGATGTGTGTTTTGTTAATTTATTTTCATTATTGCCATTGCCATACTATTAAAATTAATGAAAACAATTTATTGTAGTTTTTTTTAAAAAAAAGAATTAGAAAGTTTCGATTTCTCGTTTGAATAGATTATTATTTCTCAAAAAAAAAAACAGTGGGATTGGGGGGGCACTTAGCAATAGTTTCCTAAAGATTAAAATGATCGTATTCTAGTTGAATGCTTTTTTTTATGTTATATCAAGAAATATAATTTGATTTATGGTTTTTCATTTAAAATCGTAGTGTATTGTAGCTGTAGTTATTCATGTTTAACACAAAAAATTAAACCTTGGTCTTTGTATGTATTCTTTCAGGTTTGATTTAATTTTGGATGAGATTGTTCTTGCAGCAAGATGTTAATAAGACAAAATCTAGGTAAGTACAAGACTGCTTTGTTAAATGTACATATCGAGATAGGAATAATACAAAAAAAAAGTCTTAAAAATGTGGTGTTGAGTTCAGAACCAAAGAGTTTTTAAATAAAATTTTGAAATGCAAATAACTGTCTTTTTGACACACTTGGTCCACTTGATTTGATGGGAGTAAAATTACAGCTATCAAATTGTGGAACTAAATTTTTAGTTTCCTTCTTTTGTGTTGAGGTTAACTAAAGCATTCAGGTTTCCAGTGAATATTCTAACGTGTTAGAAAATCAAGTTAGTGTTTGGTTCAGCCACTCTTCAAGTTGAACTCTCACCACTTCAGTAAGACATTTATTGTGCCACTTCATTGTTTTCTCCTTTGTTGATAAAGTATATGAATAGTCATTGCTTTTGTGAATTTTGCTTCATTATTACTGTTAAGGAAACACTTTACCAAATGGGACATTTGCCAAATTGTGATTTCTTTCTGTTAATATAGTATTCAAAATTGTAAATTATTGTTTTAATGTTTTCCTAGTGGGTGTCTCTACTGAGTGACCTCTCTAATACAGCATTCTGATTAGCTTTCTAAGGCTGTTCACTTTCAAAAAGTTGAATTGGCATCATGTACTTTTGGTCTGGTATGTGAAAGAATGCTTTTAAATAATATAAGCTGTTGACGTGTTTTAAAAAGATACATTTACTGTTTATTGGTAAGTGAATATGGCTTCAAAACGGAAACAGGGGAAAACGAACACTGAAAAAATTGGAGTTAACTTGGTTTTCCCTCTAACCAGATGTTTCAGCTGTCAAAAATTTGCTGATCTCAGTGTTTGTTAAAGAAAAAAAAAAAAGAAGTCTAGGATGAAAAGTGCTGTAGTTCAGTAATATGCACTGAAAGAAATCTCAGTCAGTGGTTTGGGCATGTTTTGAAGCAAAATTTTTCTTTTATTGCTATTATATAATAATAATAGTAGTGGTAGTTTGAAGAGTACTTATTGTGCTCTAAATTCTATTAAGTGCTTGTCATACCTTATTGATCATTATAGTACCTCTTATTGTGTAGAAAAATTTTGTTTTTTGCTTTATAGTGGACTGTTTTTCTTTAGGAAGAATAATTTACTTTTGTAGCATTTATTAGAAATAACACTTGCCTATATATCCTCTTACAGTGGAGAAGAAACCAGACTTTTGTACTTGAAGGTCTTATTAGGGATTTGTTTTCTAGTTGAATATACAGTGTCTGTTAGAACTTTTGTTCTGATTTTCTGTGTTTGGTATTGCTTGTGGGATGACACTGGTTTAACTTATTCTGACCTTATTTTCCACCATGCTTATATATGTATTTTTTTCTTTTTTATTATGGTATAGTTTACATATATATAGTAACATAAAATTTGAGGTATAGAGCTGAATGACTTTTTGCATACACATTCATACATGTAACCGCCATCTAGATCAAGATATAGAACATTTCATTACTTTAGAAAGTTCCTTGTGCTTTCCCTGCTTCCAATCCAATAGCTTTTTTCCCCTGAAGTAATGATCTTTCTGAATTCTGTCAGCATAATTTAGTTTTGCCTGTTCTTGGATTTTATATATAGTATGTACTCTTGTATCTGGCTTTTTCATTCAACATAATGTTCTTGAGCTTCATCTATGTTGTGACTATATCAGCAGTTCATTATTTTTTATTGCTGTTTTATTTTTAGTAATATTCCATTATATGAACACACTACAAAATATTTATGTTTTCTCTGTGATTTGGTTTATTGGATTCTCCATATTTCTGTTCCTACTTGCTAACTTTTCTATACTCTTTTCCTTCTTCTACCTATCTCTTTAATTGTCCCCCATCACTTTCGAAATAAAATGTAGTAAACCCTATAACACGGCATGCAGTTATCTCACTGTAGCTATGCCAGAATGCTGAGGATTATATGAATAAACTAAGTATGATGTTTCATATTCCTAGTTCTAGTCCTAGGTGCTTGTTGTCACTTTCCCTCAACCCCGTGCCTCCCCAATTGCCAGAGCCCTCTCTGCTAGTTGTCAGCTGATCTTCTGAAATAGCCTATCTGAAGCATCTGTCTGATCCTTTAAGCCAGGCCTGGGCATAGTTTGTCTTCTTTATTGGACTATGAGTTTGAAGGTAGATACCATCCATGTCTTATTTATCTTAGTAGCACAGTGCTGGGAATACTGCGTGCATTCGGTAAATGTTTTGTTAAACATAGATCAATGAAAAGTGTTCTTTTCTCCCAGGCAAATAGAGATTCAGAATGCTAGCTGGAATGGGATGGGGGCATTGGCACTTCAGTTGCTGTTGGGCCATAGGAAGGAGCCACTGAGGACAATCCAGAGACAGCATTATAGACATTTTAGAAAGGGAAATAAATTATTTCCCAAGTCTTCTTTCAATGGCTAGTAAAATATTCTTGGTTCAGACCTAAAGTAAGACTGTCATTGTTGATTTTGATTAGTATTTCCAAGTGGAGGTATTAATCCATGTTGCAGAAATTTGAAGTGTTTGCTATGAAGAGTGTTTTCTTTGTGAGTTTGTACTAGTTATTTCTTTAAAGATTTTGAAACGTTAGACTAATACAAGTGGAAGATTGGGAACACTAGTCACACATGTAAGAAGTGAAGAAAACTTTTCCTCATTTCTCTGAAGGTAAAAAACTGTTAGGATGGAGGAAGAAATTGTAGAATCATAGCCTGGAACTGTGGTAACATTTTCGATTCCCACAACTGAGGAAGCCTGCTATTTGTTGAAAGGTATTTAAATTTTTTTTATTGTAGATATGTAATATAACATATATGAACAATATGCTTTTTTTGTTTTGTTTTTGAGACGGAGTTTCGCTGTTGTTGCCCAGGTGGGAATGGAGTGGTGTAATCTCAGCTCACTGCAACCTCTGCCTCCTGGGTTCAAGCAATTCTTCTGCCTCAGCTTCCCAAGTAGCTGGGATTACAGGCATGTGATACCACACCCAGCTAAATTTGTGTTTTTAAGTAGAGATGGGATTTCACCATGTTCGTCAGGCTAGTCTCAAACTCCTGACCTCAGGTGATCCACCCTCCTTGGTCTCCCAATGTTCTGGGATTACAGGTGTGAGCCACTGCACCCAGCCTAAACAATATACTTTCTTAAGAAATAACACACTTCTTAAATTTTAAAGCATTTTGACTAGTGGGTTTTTTTTGGTTTTTTTTGTTTTTTTTCCTGTGTTTGAAATTTGGCTAGTTGGTTGACTATAGTAATCATCTGTAGATTTTTATGCCTGAAGCTTGATTGCCCTCTAGCAAGTCCAAAGCAAGAAAAGGTTCTTCCCCACTGGGATCAATTTGTTGCCTTTCCTTTCTGTAGCTTCTGCCATAATGCTTGAACACATAGTTGGACATTGACCTTTTCTCATGCTGTTCCTTCTGTCTTCCCACAAGGATTTTCTTAGACATAGATTCTTACCGTATATAGACCTTGGTTCTTTTTTTTTTTTTTCTTTTTAATCCTGGATGTGAACTGTGTTTAGTCCTATTGTTGGTTAGGGTTGAGCAGCCAGAGAAATTTAACCTTGAGATTGCCTAACTTACATGTCTCCACAAATATTTTAGACTAATTTTTCTTCTCAGAGGCTGCTAGCTGTACCTCAGTTGCAGAGTCTTCCTCTTCATTTTGTGCTTCAGTATTTAACATAGGCAGCTGCTGCTAAGACTGCAGAATCCCCGAATCCAAGAATTTGAAATTCTTTATGGATATTTGTCTTAAATTAATTTATCTAGTTTCTAACTTAACTTCTCTTTACTTCAGTTTCTTTAGTAGCACTGTAGATGTGCTGCCCTTTGTTGTAGCATGAAAAAGAAAACTTTTAAATTAATACAGTTCTTTGTTCTTCATTCTAGATGAGATTATACAACATACATTGACCCTTTCCAGCTGTATTGCCAAGTAACAGTATTTAGTATTTCACTTTTTTTTTTTTTTAAAGACAAAGTTTTGCTCTTGTCGCCCAGGCTGGAGTACAATGGCGCAATTTCGGCTCCCTGCAGCCTTGCCTCCTGAGTTCATGCGATTCTCCTGCCTCAGCCTCCTGAGTAGCTGGGACTACAGGTGCATGTCACCACACCTGGCTAATTTCAGTATTTTTAGTAGAGATGGGGTTTCACTGTGTTGACCACGCTGGTCTCTAACTCCTGACCTCAGGCGATCCACCGGCCTCAGCCTCCCAAAGTGCTGGGATGATAGGCGTTAGCCACTGCACCCAGCCACATTTAGTATTTTCAAAATGTAAATTTTTTATAAAAGTCACATGTGACTTTATGAGCAAATAGTACAGCAGTGTTTAAAGTAAAAAGTAAAACTCTTACCTCCCACCCAGCACTGTACTCCCCATAAGTTACCAAAAATAGCTGGTATGTATTCTACATCATTCTCTTTCTGCTTATCAATATATTTTGGACATTTTTCCATATATGTACCACATTTATTATAACTGTTACCTTATTAATATTTTGGTAAATCTCAGGATTTTTTGCCTGTATATAAGTATTGCTGCAATAAATATTTTTGATTATATCAATGGGAGTGTGTGAGAGTGTCAGGATAATTTGTAGCAGTAGATTGCTGGGTCAAGGATATGTGCCCTTTAACTTCTGATATAATAAAACTGCAATGAGGTTGTACCACTTAATATTCTTATTGCTAGTTTATGAGAATATCTTTTCCCACATTCTGCTAAATATTTGTTTTATCCTGCTAGTTTAATTGGCAGAAAGTAGTATTTATTTTACTGTGCATTTTTTAAATTGTGAGAGTGCTCAAAGGTTTGAAATATCACCTTCATTACAACTTAAATTCTATTGGAGAATATATGTGAAGATTTTTATTTTTTGCTGTTAAGTCCATCAGTTCCATCAATTAACATACCTTTGTGTTTTAGGTGTTACAGTCAAAGTTAATATTGGATAATCAGATTATTTGCCTTTTTTTTCCCTTCATACTTTTTTTTTAAG